GTCAGAATATCGATCTTCTCTCTCCTATTTTGTAACTGATTTTCTGGAAAAGATCCCCAAGAAGCAAAAAATTCTCCAAAAGTGAGAAGGGAGGGGACTACATCCCCACCCTTCCATAGACGTAAGCGGCGAATTAATGTTTATGCGAAACAGAAATATATTGAAATGAAGTTACTACTACAGTCTGGATAAATCTGAAAATTATGAAAACTGTTAAGATTCCACATCCGAAAGAGTATTGATAAAATTATAAGGAAATAATTCTTTGTCTTAAAAGTTGGAAAATGAATAGCCACTGACATCTAGTGGAGGATTAGAGCATAAAACTATAGCTGCATTGACTCAAATTGGCAAGATGCCCAGAAATAGAGAAAAACTTGTTCCTTTGAACCTCAGAGACTTTTAGCCAAATAAAGAACAGCTGGGAACAGTGGAAAGAAAATACTGGGCTATCTACTACAGAGTGAGAATCACATTTGTTTTAAAAACTGCTGACCTTCTGGGATTACAAATATTTACTGATCTGTGATTTCTAAGCTCAAGAATTGCAGAGAAAGAAAAACCTTGACTTTTGGCTAATCTTCTAGGGGGGAATTTACTGAAAAGCTCTTAGGTGGCAAAACATTCTGGACTGCAATTTTGTCTGGTTGATAATTGTAAGATCCCTGAACAGAAGAACTGTTATAAAACACTCCTTTCAAGATGCTGCTTTGACAATTGGAAACTACTGTAATGCCCTCTACATGGGGCTCCCTTTGAGGAGCACCCGGAGGCTTCAAATGGTCCAAAATGCGGCCGCGCGGGCGGTGTTGGGAGGGACTCGTCGCTCCCATGTGACACCGCTGCTGCGCGAGCTGCATTGGCTACCAGTGGCCTTCCGGGTGCGCTTTAAGGTATTAGTTACCACCTTTAAAGCGCTCCATGGCATAGGACCCGGCTACCTCCGAGACCGCCTTCTGCCGCAGATTCCTTCCCACAGACCGGTACGCTCCCACAGAGTGGGTCTCCTCAGGGTGCCGTCGGCCAAGCAGTGTCGGCTGGCGACCCCCAGGGGGAGGGCCTNCGGACCTGACCTAGGGTGGATTTTATATTGGGTTTTAAATATTCGGAAGACGCAACAGTAAAATTCGGTTTAATTCGGTTTTAAGGGGGGGATTGCATATATGTTAATGGTTTTAAATATGTTGTGCGCCGCCCTGAGTCCCTGTCGGGAGAAGGGCGGCATATAAATTAAATTAAATAAATAAATAAATAAATAAATATTGGATTATAAAAACCATATATAAAGATAAGAACTATATAAGATTTGGTTGCTTGGATTTTAAGATTGGCTGGTTTGACAAGGCTAATCATAGAGACTATGGTACCAGTGAAAGACTATCTGGAGAGAAGAGACAAAATGGATGTTGCATATCTATCTAAAAGTGACAGGAAACCGCACCTAATATTCCCTTCTGAAGGCCCCAGCCTGAAACATCAGAAATCTGCAGGAACAACACTCCAAGACAAGGCAAATACTTTCCAGGAGGAAATGTATGCAATACTGCGACAAATTCAAATGACAATTGTTTCAAATCATGATGAGATTAAAAACAACTTTGATGACATCTTCAACCTAAACTTACCCTTAAAAAACTCTCAGAAAACGATAAGGAATGAACAAACAAATCAGATAACAGAACATAATCCAAAGGAAAGTGACCCAAATAGGGAAGCTACAAATGAAGAGAACTACAGCTTAAAATAAACAAAAGAAAACCTGCAAGATTTTGCCACAACAATGAAAATGTAAAAGATATTTTATCTTTCAGGACTTCAAAACAAACTTGAGGATAAGAAAGAAGATTTAACAAAATGGATTACAGAGCTGACAGGAGAATCATTAGAGTTTGGGAGACAAAAAACGTATATCCTACTTAATTTGTCTTTCCCATTCCCAATAAAACTCACAAAAATACATGAAGAATCCCCTTGCAAGCAGAACATACTGACTCGGAAAGTTACCTGGCAAAAGAAGAAGGCTTGAGCTACATTTAAGAGATTTGATTTGACACCAGATGGAGTATTATATGATTAAACACTTGTTTGAATATGGTTAAAAGACTAGATAAATTTTGGATATAAAGGGGCCCTACAATAAGAGGGATAAGATATATAAGTAGTATAGTACTTTTTATAATATATGAAATGTAAAAACATTGGGATGGTGTATGTGAATGAAAAGTTTGGATATTTAAAGGTAACTAATTTTGAGAAAATTATGACTAATAAGAATGGTTTGAATATTGAGGAGAAAACAAGCTTAAATAAGAATCTTGAAAACAGGACACATAGTGACTTAATAAGATGACTTTTACAAATACAACTGAAACATAAGCCAATCAGAAAAGATGTTATATGTTGATGTTATTGTTATTTGTACAAACACAAGAAAAATGTTTATATCCAACCTTGTATGTATCAAAAGTATTAAGAATTATATTTGTTTAATGTTGACAAAGGAGAATACTACTGGAAGAAGAGAAGATCAAGGCAATATATCATTAACTAATATATTGATTATGGAATTATAGATATTAATTATGATTGTTTTTAAATATATGAACCCAGACGACACGTTGCTTACTAAGACAGTGAGGACAATTAACCAGTGGAATAGCTTACCCCCAGAAATCGTGGGTGCTCCATCACTGGAGATTTAAAGAGGCTAGACAGTCACTTGTCTTGAGATGGTATAGGTTCTCCTGCTTGAGCAGGGGGCTGGACTAGAAGACCTCCAAGGTCCCTTCCAGCTCTATTCTATTCACTATTGTAAAAAATCAATAAAATATATTTTTTTAAAAAGAAATCATTGTGATTTCCAACCCAGTAATAGAAATTGTGTACCTCCTGGACGGTACACTTTCTTGCTACTGGTATGATAATCATGTAATGTATTCTATAAGGTAGGCAGAATACAGAAAAAAAATTCCCTGGCACTCAAACACTCAGCCCATTTTGTCACATGTTCAGGGGAGCAACTGAAATATGGTCTTCTGCAGGTAAGTGATTCTGGGCAGGTGAAAGGAACTTTTGAGTAGAACTGCCTTGAAACTACCTAACATTCAAATATGGCAGCAGAGTAACTATATGGTCTCATTACCCAGGTGCTATAAAGGTAGGATGTATTGACATGTTTTCTTTCTGACTCAGAGATGGAAGCAAAACAAATTAACACAGTCATGAGGAAGAACCCATTATTAGGTCCTATATAGTCATACTTTCAAAGGAGATGTAGGATCAGAGAAGGCACATAGGTCTACCATAGGGCATAGCTTTGGAGCTTTGTCTGTGATTTGGCAAAAATACAAAACAGGTTGTTGCTGCAAGAGATTTGTTTAAATTGAATGCTTGTCTGAAAAAAAGATGCATCCACCGATGACCTATTAGAGGCTGTAGATTTTCACTGATTTGACTATTTTAACAGGATTTTCTTCTAATATGACTTGCTGAGAAAATGTGCTTTTTGGTTGGTGGTGATTAAGAAAATACATGAGCTTGGTCCTTTAAGGAAGACTTTGAATCATTTTTTTAAAGCCATACCAAACATCCTAATACATTCTAAGACACCAATGTCACTTTAATAAATAAATTGTATTTTGTTTTATTATTTTACTAATCTTCTATTTTGTGATTTCTAGAGGACTTTATTAAATAAACAGAGAGAGAGAGAGAGAGATTTGAAACTATAAATATGTAAAAATATTTCACAATTTTAATTATAAATTTCTTATTGTAACAGAAGGTTGGGTTATGCAATACATATATAGGATTTTCATGAATAATATAGATACTAGCATTGATTAACACATAACTGCTTTTCCTTCAAATTTCATTTGGTCTTTAAAGAACAACCTCTGACAATGCCCTTGAAATCCTGGAAGGAACTTATGGAAGGATCCTTCAGATAATCTATTGTCAAGTTAATGTTTAAAACCTTAAACATCGCCATTAATACTTTGATCCAAACCTAGAAAGACTAGAAGCCAACACATCTTACAAAGACCCAGTGTAGAATATTGAAACAATTTAGTCCATTTAATAATATTGCAATCCTCTTGTGCATTAATTTGACCCACCCACCCTTCCTTCCTTCATCTCATATTTTCCTGACAGAAATAGAGCAATATTTTAAAAGTGACAAAATATTTTCTAAAAGAACCAAGATGCCTTAATATTTGAGAAAGCATTCCTCAGGATGGGTAAGAGAAAAAGCTCTAGATTCTGACACTTCTTTCCTGGAGGCCTGAAATTGGGTTTTACATGATTTATTTATCAAATTTATATTTCCCCATCTGATGAGGAATGATTCTGTGTGGCACACAATCAAATAAAGCAATATAAAAGTTATTATAAAAACAATAATAAATATGATTATTTAATAATTTTAATTATTAAAATTAGTTTTATTAAAAAGTTGCTGGGTCATAGCTGGGGCGGGACTTGCAAGTACTTCCGTCCTGCAAAGTGGTGCTCCCCTAGCGCTCCTGCCATAGTGGCAGCCCCAACTACAGGCCGCACACTCCAGCCTTGCCCTGTCAAGGAAGGGGGCAGCAGCCGAGGCTACATCAGATCTGCAGCTTGTCAGCGATGCTCAAAGGCTGCCCAACTTTACTCTGGAATTTCGGAGGGGCAGCGCCGTGTTTGCAGGTGTGGTGGCACCTGCTGAAAAGCCTTCTGCTTCCCCCCCCCTGCAGCTACCTCCTTCGTAGCCGTCCTGATTCCGACAGGCCTGCCGGCAGAGCAGCAGGCAAGAGTGCCGGGTGACCCACGCTTTACGTTGTTTGGTGACTGCTAGCAACCTGCAGGCTGTGAACTTTCCTTTCTCCCTTGGGGAAAGAATTCAGGACTGCTCCATTTTGTGATCTTTTTAGCCACAGTTGTTAAGTGAATCACAGGGGAGTGAGTTGCCCTATAATAAAGTAATGTACTAAGAAGGTTAAGGTTGTTAAAAACAAAAGAATAAATACAACACAAGAAAAAGCAGCTGACTTTTGCATTTCTAAAAGGAGGCGCAGATTCTAGAATTCCCAGCTAGAGCACATCATGAAGGCATTAATTTGGAGAAGGAAGGACACACAACTGTAGAAAAAATGTTTGCCATTCACAATATCGGTGTAAACTGTAGCTCCAGCTCTGTACAACAAATTATGTAATTACATTATATTTTGATATCCACAGGAACCAAGTTCCATATGCAATATAAATGCAGACAGAGTGCCAACACTGTTTCTTGTTCAAGTGAATCTCAAGAACATTTTAGGGTTAATTTGGAATGAAGAAACAGTTCAATATTTGTCAGTTCTAAATTACTACGCCCCCAAAGGTGCCTTTCAAAGAGGGGGACAGAGGAAGCTGTGTCGCTTTTCGTGGATTCATCTTCTCATATATCCACTGGTGCATTCTGTTTCTGAATAAGATGATTCACTTTCTCCAGAGACACTAAGATTTTCCCATGAACACAGAGCACTTTGAACATCAAAGTTCTGACTATCTGGCATTTCAGTGGAATGGTTTGGTTCAAATGCATCAGAAATGCCAGACTCATTCAACTGTAGTATGTCTTCATGGTCAAATGTAGAACAATCCAGTTTTTCAGCTGCTATTCCTAGCATCACAGTATTTAAGTCTACATTTAAGCAGTCTGTACATTCTGATTCTGCTACATGGGCAGAATTCACTTCAGAAGGATATAATTGGCTGCCTTTGCCAATATCATTCTGATTTTTTTCTGCTAAAGTTCTGGTTATTTTATTTGTAGTAGCTGAGCAACCTGTGAACAGCTTCTGAGTGATGGCCACATCAGAGAATGGTGTAATCTTGTTAAAGATGCCACATTTGGTATCAAAGTTACTCTCATCATCGCTTTCACTGTTCACATCCTCACTGTGTTGTTGCATTGTGTTACTTTCCTGGGCTTGAACATCACAAATTTCTTCAAGATCCGATCCAAAGACTGAACAAGCCATATTAGGTTTGATATTCTGGGAAAAAACAAAACAAATGTTGGTATGCACAAACATTGACAGATGCTCTCAAAAGAGTAATATACTGTATTCCTTTCACTAGTGATACAGTCTTTCTTTGCTTCTTTCTATCTTTAATGGTGGGTCTTTATTAAACTTCCCTTCCTGAGAATGTCAAATACTTTCTTCTTCTTTAATTCTGCCCTGAATTCCCTTGTGGGTAACTAGGTATAGGTTCCTATTTCCCTCTTTCCTGGTGAGGAAAAATAAGCTAAACAAATGGACATAAAATCTCTCAGCAAACCTCTTGGCAATCAGAGCCCCAACTCTTCACTTCTCTTAAGAAAGCTATGAGATGCTAGAGTCCAATGGGGCTTTATATTCCCAGTAGGAAGGCAGAGATGGCTTTTGTAATCTTGTTTGATATATTGTTCATAAATGAGAGAAAGCATGTGACATATACAATTTTTCACTCAGACGTACCTTGTGCCCTCTGGCACAGAGAGATGGTTGATATCAGAGGGCAGGACTTTCAATTCAGTTTCACTACTAATGTTACTGTCAAACCCCACCCTGGTGTAATCTGCTTCAATTAAAAGGAGAGCTGGATTTCCCTTGGACAGAAAACATTTCCTCATGTCTGAGGTAGATGTTTAATCACATCTATTACCAGAGGCAGCACATAATAATTAGTGGGAATTTCATTTAGCCTCAGCCAGTGGTGGGATTCAACTATGTGAACAACCAGTTCTCTGTGTGCATGCCACTTCCGGAAGTCCATTCTGGGCCTGGGCAACAAAAAATTAGCTGAAGTGGTGCAAACTGGCTGAATCCCACCACTGGCTTCAGCAACATAATCTGTCTATTTTAAAATAAGATTCCGTTGTATTACCAGAGGGCTGTTTACAGCAAATTAATCTTGCTTCCAAAATCAACGCTAAAGTTACATACTGTAAAGAACCCTTCTTAATCTTGTGCAGGTTCTTGGCTGTAAGGTCAATCCCACTTGTATATCAAGTCCTGCAGCAATACAGCCAAACTAAGAGTGCTGCTTCTTTTGGCACATTAACTGAATATGTAAACATATAAGACTAAAATACAAGAGCAGTCTTACAGCCATTAGGATAGAAATAGTCTTTAAAGTAATGAAGAAGCTACATCACCCCAAGTCTATGAAGAACAAGGAATATAGGGAATGTTTAGTGGAGTGTAAGGGTCATGTAGCTTCTTCTGGGAACCCCTTTCACCATCTTTGGTTGAACTGCCCTAACACATACCAATCTTAAATTGAAAGTATTTTGCCACACTACTTACCAAGACATTTGGTGATATTCTCCTTTTAAAGGAAATAAAACCAGTCATAAATAGGAAAACCAGAATGACTAGCCCCACGAATAGTAATAATGGAGCCAAGATTGAAAGTACAGTATAATCTGCAGATTAAAAATATATTTCATTAAGCAACAATGCATTTACAGATTATTACAAAATTACCTGGTTTTGTTAGGAAGATGAAGAACTATAATTTAATCATGTAAAAGATACTGAAATGCTAAACGAATTCTATGTTTAGTCTTTTAGTCACAAAATAAAACAGGTTCTGACTCATTCCATTTCCTTGTTTCATAATTCATTGTACCTTGTCCGTTATTGGAGTCAAGCATAACACATTTTGGAATGGTGGAAGTGCACTGGGGTTTAAAACCGTTAGACACCTGAACAGCAATGCAATAATTTTTATTTGGATGCAAATCTTCAAGAATAGTGAAGAAACTATCCTGTTGGGTTGTATTATCAATACGCTGTAAAAGACAAAAAAAGTGAATTGTTTTTAAATGCATTGAAACGATAAAGCTAAATGATGTGAATTGGTGAAACTCCACTTTAACCTGGAATCAAGGTATGGCTTTGCACTTACAGTGGTACCTTGGTATGCAACGGCTTTGAAACTCATCGAGTTTAGTACTCAACACACTTTGATACAAAAATTTTTGTCCCAGTACTCATTGTTTGTTTAATACTCAATGCGCAAGCTAGAACTTGTTGGTGCTGGATGTCTTGTGACTCACTACATTATTACTTACAGGAAAAAATTGTCTGATATTCATTGTTTTTGGTACTCATTGTGCCTCCTGGAACCAATTAACAATGAGTACCAAAGTACCACTGTATTTTTTATTTAAGAACGTCATTTTCTATATGGGGGTTAGACAAATACTGAGATATTTTGTGAAGTGCTCTAAATACAGTACTATTACTATACCATTATTTATAACTACAACAATCATAATAGCAATGTCAACAATAGTTTTATTTTTGTAATTCGTGTTTCTGAATTGTATGACATTGCAATGTCAATATACTATCTTGCTTTTTATATTCTGTCAATTTAACTCAATTATGTGGGTTTATATGCTAGTATGGCAATTGATTTTCTATATTAGTCTTAACAACTCAATCCATCAAGTTCAATTGGCACTCTGAACCCATACAAAGGAAACTTGTTTATCTGGATTACATCATTCCATTTAGAATACAAACACTGAAGTATAATTTTTGGAATTGTGGAAGAAACCAAGGTCACAATGGCTGAAAATGATGTGAGCTCAACACAGTTGAAGCTGAGATAGATAATATTATAAAAGCAAAAAAAACGTAGCACATTTTTTAATTATAAAGTGAATTCTGTTTGATATTTTTAAGACCTTACTTAATAATCAATTACTTACATTTTCCTTGAGATCAGCTGTTTTCACTGTGATTGTATAATCAAGTTTCTGATAAATTTTAAATAATAGAGGTGGAAGTTTCACTGTGACATTTACACAGTTTTGACAAACAGAAATATTAAACTGAGGTGGCTTGAGGCATCCTGATTAAAACATAAATAAAAGAAATTATCAATACTATTTGCTAGCAATCCAGATTTTTTTATCTTAGCAAAAATAACATTCTAAAATATAAGTATGTTAGAAGTCCTACAGGGTTTCTAATCAAACCTAATGAATTATTATAAATAATATTTTCAATAGAAAGACACATACAGTACAATACTTTTATTTTTTAATGTTTTATTATTGGTTTGCTTTAATTATCAATGCCAACTTTGATCCTGAAAGTCAGCCCTGAATATAGAACCTGATCCTTTTTGTTACTCTTAACTTCTAGCCTAGCTTTTTAAAAATCTCCTTAAATGTATAGAATAACTGGATATAAAGGTCTTCAAGGCCAATTCGCTTGACAAATGAACAAAAAGTATTATTTTCCCAAAGGAAAATAATTTGATTTGAGATTTCAGTGAAAATGTATGATTCAAACAAAAGGAAGGAAGAAATTACTTACGTTGAGTATATGGACTGAATTGTAGAATATCTGAATAATTTGTTCCATTGCTGGTGTCTTGCTGTACTATAATAAATGCATTTCCTTGGCAAAAATCTGCAAATTCATTTGTTAGATTGCAGAACGGTCTTGTAATATTAGTACATTCCTGGACTGTCTTGAAGTCTGGTTTTCTATTAGTATATAAAAACAAGAAAGAATACATTTTTTCAGTAAGAAAACAGTGATTCTAAAGAAATATATAATTGGCCAAAATGGTGGGCCCAAATTAGATTTATATGAAGTTGTCTATGCAAGATTAGGCACCCTGGTAAAATTCTCTGTTTCAATTAATTCATAGTTGATGGAATCTCTACATCAGGGGTGTCAAACTGCCGGCCCATGGGCCGGACGCGTCATCAGGAAACCACGCCCACCCCATTGCTGGCAATGGCAAAAAAACTCCGATACGTTGCGCAACGTCACATGACGTCGCAAGTTTGACATGTCTGCTCTACATGGTGTATAGTTAAATATGACCTTTTCCTGCAAATTTCAATGTACTCTTACTAGTTATGTACACAGATTCAAAATGATAAAGCAGTAAAAATATGGCAGCTACAGAAGTCTGTAGTAGACCCTTCCAATTTTGTAACACTTCCTTTGGCAGAAATAACAGCTTTGTTGTTTCTTATAATTGAGAATGTTTCTGTTCTCACTTTTAGATTCTTTTCCCATTCTCCCCAGCAGAACCCTCCTTGCTCAAAAATATTCCTGATCTCCTTGTAAGTACTGCATCTTTGAGAAGATCCCTCTTACACTCATTGTTAAGAACAACAGTTGCTATTAAAAACAAAGCAATGAGCAAGAGGTGCAAATACTCTGCACTGGTCCTGGAAAGCACAGCTGCTTTTGAAAATTAGCCTGAAGTTTAACTGCTATTTGGGAGGGCTGCTTGATGAATTTAATGCTTTTTGCAATGCCTAATTAGGTCATCTCTTTTCTTTCTTCCAGAGCTAGTGATCTGTTCCCTGAAGCTCAAAGGGCATTCATTTTTATCCCTCCCCTTTTCTTTATTTTCCTTCCTATTCCAACTATTCTTTTTCCTTAACTCAGGTGTTGCCAAAGTATGGGTCATGACCTCTGGAAGATTGGTATCAATTTAGAGAGCAATTGACTTTTTTAAGCTGGTGAGGCATAATGGGTGTTCAGTCCAAACCTATTTATTTTTGTCTGGATGAGCTTACAGCAGGTTTGTGTAGAGAAAATGAGGAACAAAACCCAGAGAAAATTTCAAGAGCTAATTCAAGCCCTGTGCTTAACTATTTATCAAAATATTAATGAATCACAGCAGTTTCATTTGTTTTTTTTGACATGACATGCTATTTAGTTTTATTTGGGGAGCATCACACACATTCATTTATCACTTAAGACAGTCATAATATTGCAGAGTTTGGTAACATTTCTATCCTTTCTCTGATATTTTTTAAAATGTGACATCTGGCAAGTATGTACACATACACATGTAAAAGCAAGAAAACAGGCTGAAATACACCTCCAAATCACTCATGCAAGAATATTTCTGAGCTAGAAAAATTCTGAAAGGAAGAATGGGAGAGGATTTCAAAAGTTTTTCTTAATTAATTATAGGAAACATTTGAAAGGAGGTTTTACAAAATATTGAGTGGAAAAGTGTCTAAACTTCTGAACCTGCTATATTTACTTTTTTCTTATTTTGAAATTTTAAACATGTGCACATAAATAATAAATATGCACTGAAATTTACAAAATTTTTAACTAAAGCCATGTTTAACTATGTACCATATAGGACAGTGATGGCGAACCTTTTAGAGACCGAGTGCTCAAACTCCAACCCAAAACCACTTATGCATCGTCGAGTGCCGGGTGGGTGTGGCCCATTGGGTGGGCATGGCTGCAATGGTAACGGCAGACTGGGTGGGACTAAAAAGTTCAATCAATCAATTCCAACTTTGCAAGATCTTTTTTTTGTCCCGCGAGAAGTTGAAATTGACTGATTGAACCTTTTTTTTTTTGCACACGGTAGCAGAGGCCTAAAGTAAAAAGGTTTTATAAAACCCAGCTGAAGGCCTAGGACTGGGGCGACGGCACGTGTGCCCACAGAGAGGGCTCTGAGTGCCGCCTCTGGCACCCGTGCCATAGGTTCGCCACCACTGATATAGGAGGTATATCAACCATTGTTCACTTGAGGTTCATTGGAACTTATAATGGGGAAAGCACTTGGGTGGTTAGGGCTAGTGAGTCAGCATTTTTTCAAAATCTTTGATTGTCTCAGAATTTTTTTTGGTTTCGGTGGAAATGTTTAAGGTCCTTTAGAACCTCAGATGCCTTTACTGGGCATCTGTTGCTGAGAATTTCTTTCTATCTTGCACCTTAGATAGTGGTTCACTGCTGTTCTCTGTGCATCTGTTTCTGAGAAAGCTGGGCAAGTAGCCAGCTTCCCTGGTCCCACAACATGATGCTCTGAATCCTGGTTTTCCTGAGACCTGGTAGGGGAAAAAAAGAGAGAACATCTGTGATAGAAATGCAAGCATCGAAAAAAAGAACCATATATCATCCCATTTTCTAGTGTCCATAAAGACATCAGAGTCCTCTGAGAATCTTCCTTATTGTTCTACAACCTAAGGCAGTTTTTTTCCCTCAAACTGGTACACTCCTTCTGGTTGTTATACATGTGCAAGGGGCACCAGACATCTAAGCAAGGCAAGGCAAGAAGATATTCTAGGAGACAGATCCATTCCTGGAGGCTTCGTCATCTGGATACCGAGTAGAGCACAACCATGTTTAAATGAATTTACTGATTAAGACATTTAGAACTGGTTTTATTTTGGGGATAACTTGACACAAGCTATGGTTTAAAATTAAGGATCAGTGCACTGTGTGAACCCAGTTTAAATTCAGGAACAGGTTATGTGTACTCCACTACCTGTCTAAAACCCGAAGCATTAAATGTAACAGTTCATGCTGAAGCAGAAAAATGGGGAAGATTGAGTAAAAAAGCATCAAATCTGATCTTCCCAAGTAGAACAGAACAATATATAATGAAATTTATGGCTGACATTTTCACACCTACTACCTTTGATTTTATTTTTAATTCTATTGTTGTTATTACATTTATATCCTGCCTTATCTTTGGTAGCTCAGAATGATACACGTGGGAGTCTCCTATTACTTTGTTCTTATACTGCAACCTCTCAGGAAGTGTGTTAAGAGAGAGAGGAACTGGGTCTAAAACTTCATGGTCATGTGAGAACACAAACCTGGGTTCCCCTGCTTCGTTTAACACAGGTCTTCAAACTTGGCCCTTTTATGACTTGGGGACTTCAACTCCCAGAATTCCTCAGCCAGCGAGCATGGCTAAGGAATTCTGGGAGTTGAAGTCCCCAAGTCATAAAAGGGCCAAGTTTGAAGACCCCTGGTATAATACCTATACTACAATGCTCCTGATTTAATTCTAAGCCTCAAATTCACCTCACTCCAAAGCAAACATTGTGGAAATGTTAAGACACATTACAATCTTTAAACTGTTATTCATTGGCCCATTGTGTTTTGCTGTAAAACTTTGTGTTTCACAACATAGAAAGCAGGAAGACAAAAATTATACAGTGGAGTATAATGAACTAAAACAAAAGAGGACAAATATAGATATGAGCATCAACTCAGAGTTGGGCTGTTGGTTTGATCTCCGAGCTTGGCAATTTGGTTGCAAATGTTTTGCCTCCATTCGGGGGGACATCTTCAGTGCACTTTTAAAAAAAATAAATTTTATTGAGTTTTATAAGGCTAGGGAAGGGATGGGATCAGTATGGGAGTTGGGATTCAGGATGGGGGTCAGGGTTGAGATTAGGGCAGGGATGGGAAGAACAATGGGGTTACCCCCCCCTTGACATAAACATTCTCAAGCTTTAGCAAGCAGGCTATTGTCCGGGTACATATATTCAATAACACTAATTAATATAATAGTAAATAGCTATAGTAAATATGAGAAACAATAATCATAAACTATGTCAGTTAGTCAGTACATGTCCCTCATCTTACTAATATATATTCACAATAAGGTATCACATTCATTTCTCACTATCTTTTTGCTAGCCATTGATAAAAATTGTCCCATGTTTTAAAATAAACCGAATCTTCTTTCTCTTTAATCTCTAAAATTAATCTGTCCATTTCAGTGCACTTTTGAATTGTGCTAATCTGTGAGAGCACTGGCCTTTAAATACTTTTTTGTGTGATGTAAATTGGTGTGGGTGTTGGTTTTGGGCTGTTTGATTGGCTGGTTGTTGTTGCTGGGCCATAGTCTTGGTATTTAAGTACTGTGTATGATGTGATGCAAATAGTATTGTTTGTTCGATTGCCTCTGAGTCATGGTCTGGTTTCAGATTGTTTGGTTGGCTGGATGTCGTTGTTGTGACGTGGTCCAATTTCTTGTGGAGGGTTGTGATTTTTGTTGCTGGGTGGTGGGGTGCCTGTTTGTTTGTTTTTAAATGCTGCCTTCGGGATTGCAGTTGAAGTAGTTCTTTCGTTCTCAGCAGTTGGTAGATTGGGTCGATGTCTGTTTATTGATTTATTGGTGGAGAACCAGGCTTCGAGGAATTCTTTCTCTCAATTTCACTTGGGTTACAACTATGGTCCTGTTTAGAGGAAACTTGTGTCCTTCTGAGTCTTCATGGACGGACATAACACAAAATGGTATTTACATTATACAAAAAGGTATTTAAAGGCCAGTGCTCTCACAGACAAGCACAATTCAAAGCGCACTGAAGATGATTCCCCCGAATGGAGATGAAATGTTTGCAACCAAATCGCCAAGCTCAGAGGTCAAACCAACAGCCCAACTACCAACCCGAGGTACTAATATTCGAACACATTTCAACTTCTCAAGAATTATTTTACTTGCCTAGAGTTGTAAGAATTAACTTGTTCCTGGCCTTTTGCTGCTGATTTCAACTCTGTTCCCATGGTAAGGAAATTACAGCTAGAAGTTCTAAAGAAAATAAAACAAGACATTTTTCCCTTCCATTTTCTGTCGAATTTCCCAGCCATTCAACAAATGCACCCATTTGGTCTAGGTTTATCTCATCAAGTAGGAAAAAGTGCTGACTACGGTCATTGACAGGAATGATTGACTGGTTTATTTTATTTATATAAAATGAGAACATATTGCCAATTGAGTGATAACTTTAGATTTTTGCAAACATACTTTAATTGAATATAACAGACTGATGTTCTTTAATTTATAGGCACTTAGTAAAAACTGTGATGATGAAAATATTCACAATACAGGAATGTTGCGTTCAGTGTTGGATGCAAGTATATATTGTGTAGGTCACAGGTTTGCATCAATCATCTCATAATGCACTTTTTGTCACTTACTTTCCTATGACCTCTTGAATACACCAAGGATTCCATGGCTATATTGCCTCAAGATTTTCAATTGGTTTTAGGTCCATACAGGATAGCATCTATACTCCAAGTACATGCAGCACTCAGAATCCTTTCTGACTCCATTTGCTGAAAATTGTTTTCACAGTTTTCTATCATTTTCAGTCTGGAAGCTAATAATACTGAATTGTATTCCCAACAATAGGCTTTATAGAATTAAAAAAGAACCCTCTTTAAACTCTACCTTAAATTCAGGAACATACAGAAAAATCTGGCACCATTCAAATGTATGTCACAGCCTGGTTACTTTGCATTATCATCCCATGCTCTTTGGCCTTTGCCAGTCCTAAAAATATTAAGTGTGGCTTCTGTCCACAAAATGATAACCACTCCCCAACTTTACTCTGTATCTATAAAAAATAATATCCCATCTGATCAAATTGCCTCCAGTCTACGAAAGATGTGCCAAATAAATGTATTGACTTTTAAACATTTGCATTATTTTTATTTTTCTTGAAGCAGTATCTAAGCACCTGTGTTAAAATAATGCTTTGTCCACCATGATTACTTATAAACACTCACAAAATGTAAATATACATAGGTATAAAGAAAACAGATAAAAACCTTTTCATTGTATACATCACTGTGTAGCATGCTGATGTCCTCGAACTATTTCCAGCTTTCCATGATAAAATGTACTCAAAATCCTCTGGTTTCATCTTCAGAATGAGTGGTGATTTAGATGTTTCTTGTGCAAAAAAAAAAAAAAAAAAGAGACTCTCACCGTATATTTATATTTATCAAGGAAGAAAATACAAACAGAATGTACAAACGTATCAGGACATGCCATGTCTGTTTCTCTCCTAGCTTAAGCCTAGACTTTTCTTCCCACTGCCCCCCTTTACAATTTGATGATTCTTCCAGCAAATCCAAAACTGGTTGTCTATCTTGCCCCTTACCTCATGCTTCAAGCAGACTGTTTGTCACTGTTATATATTTGTAAAGTAAGAAGCATGCAAAAGCATGCAAAAAGGAGAGGGGGGAAAAGGACGAGGAGGGCATAAGAGCTATCTTTGAAATAGTAAAAAAAAATTGTTTTGGAAAATAGGAGAAATTAGCACAGTGCAGCACAGGTTTCAAGCAGAATGAGATTTTCCCTGGGTTTCTATGACAAAGAACTCAGTCTGAGTCAATGATGGATATAAATAGTTGCAAAACATTCCATTGGCCATAATGCAAATTGGTGCTTTCTCCCATCGCCAGTTAAGCATCCAGAGTGCTCCCGGTCTGTTTAATGCACTTTTATCCCATTTTCTTTTGCTGGATATAATTTAAATCAAGCATTAGATTGCAATCAATCAGCATGTTTATTTTCTAAGAATACCTATGGCCTGATATGGAGACCAAGGAATTCTTGGAGATAAAGATGATGCTGGAGGCTAGTGATTTGCTTTGCAGCCTCCCAGCATCATACTGTTGTTGTTGATCAGGGGTAGTCAACCTTGGCTCTTTTATGACTCGTGGACTTCAACTCCCAGAATTCCTGAGCCAGCATGGTTGGCTCAGGAATTCTGGGAGTTGAAGTCCACGAGTCATAAAAGAGCCAAGGTTGACTGACTACCCCTGTTGTTGATGATGAAGTTGATGTAGTTTTAATGAATGGAACAGAAAGCCCTGATAGGCCCCTTAATTGAAGGGTTCAATTAAGCATCAGCTTTGTGGATTCCCTCCTTTCCATCAGCATTTTTCTTTAACACTGGATTGTTTACATGTAATCATGAGATTACGGTTATATTAAATTTGGTTAATTTAAGTAATACAGCTTTATAATCTATTATTTAAGGTGGGTGCATTTTAACATCAGCAGTCTTAAAAAAAATCTAAAAATAAACACTTCCAAAATTTTCCTCCCAGCTATGCAAGAAAAGGATAAAACAGAGTAGGGGATGTGTGTGAAGCAGAGGCTTGCCTGATCTTTAGATATGTCATACTAAATCATGCTTTGGCATAATTTTACATAGATCGATGGACAGAATTTATATCACTTTTCAGGGATGTTGCTATCAATAGGAGTTCATCTCTAGCAAGTTCTCTATAGTACATGAAAAATACTTACCAAGTACGTTGCTAAAAGTCAAACTTATTGCACTGACACATACTGTAAATTAAACAAAACAAATATTAAGAAAAACACTACAATAATTTGATCTTATATAAATAGATGGTTGGAAAATTAATATAAAATAGAATTTAGCATCAGAGATTCATATACCCAGGGGTGGGTGGGTATTTTGCTACTGAGTAGTTTCATGACAGAAAACAATTCATAAGCAGCTCTGAGCATCCAATCATCTTCAAGGAGGATGGTTACAGGTGTATTATCCCTATTTCTTTCCATAGTTTTCCATGATAAAATGTACTCAAAATCCTCTGGTTTCATTTGTGATTTGCCCTCTCAACCCAAAATGACCCTGCTTTTCTCTCCTCCATGACTTTTTATCTCTAAATCTTTCCAAAATATTTAGGTTTATTTAGAAGTCGCTGTTTGTAAGAAGTGTAAAGTAACCATGATATACTTTTTTAAAGTAGTAAAGATAGTATTTAGATTTATTTGGATATTGGATTTTTGCTTCTCTGCTATTATCTTTTTCTTCTGGACAAATAATGATACCCAACTTATCTATTATTGCAAAAATTCTACTAAAATAAATTGGGAGTGGTTAGATATTTTTGTATACAAAAACCAGTTTCTATGCATTATTAAATTCCTATAGTAAGAAGTTTCTTATCTATTCTCTGTACCATGGCATAAACAATAGAGAATTTATAGCACTCTTTGCATTCTTTTAGAGTGTTGGAATAGCTGTGGACTTTAGTTCTGCACCACCACTAGATACAAAGACCATCAATTTACAAAAGTGTGCTATTTGGGAGTCCTCAGCAACTGCTTGAAGAGCAGGTACCTGCAGTGGCCAGGAGGACCAAATCCATCTTATATGCTAAGTGTTCCCATTCCTGAACTGGAGGCCCTGTTTGGAGTCACCTCTTGTTTGTCCTATTGCAAGGTGTTGTACGTAGGGCTCCCCTTGAAGACCATTAGGAAACTACCAGTGATCCACAATGCAGTGACATGAATGATTATAGCTGAACTATAGTGCACCATATAACATCACTACTTTATGAACTTCGACGGCTACATGAGGCTTCTGGATGTAATTCAAGGTGATAGTTATCATCTATAAAGCCTTTCATGGAAAAGATTGTTTGTTGAACTACCTGGCTCTGATTATTTTAGCCTATCTCACAAGGTCCAACAGGGTGGGCATGTTCATCCTGTCCCTTCTATGAAACAATGTCATTTCATAGGATTCAGGCAGCTTGCCTTCTATTATGGTGCCCGTCTTATGGAACAACGTATCCCCTGAGATTCAGGCAGCCCTGAGCCAAATGGCCTTCTGCAAAGCCAGGGGACGAGAGGAGACCATTTTGTAATGATTGGTGTGGTGATTGGGGTTGGCCTCAAATGTGCTATATTTTTATTGTTATTTTTGTTTTGTGTTTGTTTGTGTAGTTAGTTATTTTTTGTTTCTTTTTAACCTGAAGCTAGCCACATAGTATCATAATTTGTGTGTTAGACACTCGTATAAATTGATTAATCGAACAAACAAACAAACAATCTTCAAGTACTTCAGCCAACATAAATACCAGTTTGGAGAAGGTTGCTATAGTCCATTTGACAGCAACCACTTTCCTCTAGCTCAGTGGTTCTCAACCTGTGGGTCGGGACCCCATTTGGGGTCGATCGACCATTTCACGGGGGTCGCCAAGCAAGGCTGTCCGCCATTTTTTTTGTCTGCCATTTTTCCCCCTTTTCCGGTGGGTGCCTTACCTCCCTTGGGCTGGGCCAGCTGGTGGTCGGCCTGCTCCGTCTCTGCCGCTTGCCAGCTATGCCTCGGCCGGCGCAGGGGGCGGAACCACGCATGTGTGGCGCTCCCGGGCAGGGAAAGTCCTCGACTTACGACCGGTTGGGTAGTCCTCGACTTACGACCAGTTTAGTCCTCGACTTACGACCGGTTTAGTCCTCGACTTACGACCGGTTGGGGTCGCGGCATTAAAAAGGTTGAGAACCACTGCTCTAGCTTAATACTGCCATTTATTGCTTTCTTTAAAAATGATCTTAAAATATGTTTTCAAATATTACAATATAGTAATGTACTAATGTTAATAAATAATATAATACATTACAATTTAAATATTATATATTCAAATAGATCCCAACTTTGCTCATACTCTGCTGGAATCAATAGGACTGTTAATTAAAGTTTGTTGATGGGCCAAAATGGCCAAATTTGATGTAACCAGATGATTGAAACAAGTCCAAAAACAGATGTAAAGTAAATAAAAAGGTTTTTTTCTTAAATAGTGAAATCTTACTGAACTTTTAAAACACATTTACTTTACAAAAATCCATGTTCAGAGTACAATTTAAGAACTTCCGTTTTGAGAAGATTTATGATCTGACAGAGCCATGCAGCTCTCGCATGTCAGTTACATTGAATAGTTTGTAAAATTGGATGTGAGGATTGCCCAGCTATAGGTCTTATTAGTAACATCAGTCACTAGAGGTTATCACCACATACCCTATTATAAAAAATGGCTGCGGATCATGGCTGTACTTCTCTGCAATCAGGAACCCAACATGTCTCCATTACTGAAGTTCTATAACTGTTACAGCCTCTTTGATTGAAATTAGGAAACCCTAGGTTTAAATTGAGGCTAGAGAATATTTCTATCTCCTTTACACACAATTAAAATCCCCAGTGCCTGATAAAAAGCTTATAAAGATTCCTTACAGTCATAGGTAGAACTGTAGAAAAAAGATGTTGCATTTATGAACTTTCCTTCACTTAGGATTGACAGCATGGTGTTGCTGACTGTTTTTTATCAGCTTACTCTCAGCCCATGAATTCACAGAGTCAAAGCAGTCTTATTTAAATGGTCTTGTTCCAGTGTACAATATAAAGAACAGCATCTAAACTTTTTTTTTCTTAAATTGTATGATACTGTGATATGGAAACTTCACTACATTCCCTCATCTGCCTTCTGGAGATGTGTTTATATGACCCGGGCAGCCTTAAGTGTTGTAGATAAAATCTGCTGCCCCAGGTGATTTTATCTTTGGGGAGCAGTCTATATATAAGGAGAGAAGGTAGGAAAATATTTCCCAGTGGCTATTAGCCAGCCAATCAATGCTTTCAAAATACCGACCCATTGTACTAATGCATTGGTTAGTCTAATACAAATATGAGTTTCAGGTGAACACTGAGAAAAAAATAAGTGCCAGATGTTACTGTAAATCAGTGAGAAAAGATTGTACATATCAGGAAATTATCGTAAAGATATATAAATAAAACATGGCAACCATTCAAGCATGAAAAGGGACAACTGTTTCCATCATAATTATGATTACCTGGCAACAGATAATTATATACATTTGCTGTGGCATAATAGAATAATGGAATAATAGAGTTGGAAGTTTTCTAGTCCAACTCTCTGCTCAGACAGGAAACCCTGTACCATTTCACACAAATGGTCGTCCAGTCTCTTCTTTAAAACTTCCTGTGTTGTAAGGTTGGAAGGTTCATAACTTCTTGAGGCAAGACATGTATTATGCATAGCATAAATGTCAGGAAAAGTTGGGGGGGGGAGGTATTTCAAAGGTATTTCCGAGATCGGTAAAATGAGGACCCAGCTTGTTGGGTCTGACTCTGTAAACCGCTTAGAGAGGGTTGTAAAGCACTGTGAAGCGGTATATAAGCCTAAGTGCTATTGCTATTGCTGCTGCTTCAATTAATGTACCACCTTGAAGACTGTTTATCAATATTCTGTTTCAAATAAACAATTTATTTTAGGCACATGGAATGAGGTGACCATGACATTTCCTAGGCAAATATCCTCCCACAATGATAACACACGACGAAGAAAACAAAGGAGAAACTGGCAACAAAAAAACACACCCCAAATCCCTACATTCTCTCTAATTAAATTTAACTTACCAAGTTTGCAGAAATTCAGTGGTTTCATGGAAAATGCCATTGTAGTTTAAAAACACATCCTAGCAATTAAGTGTTGATGTTAATTCTGCATCTGCAATGGACCAAGTGAAACAGTGTTCAAAAAATAACAAACCTGGCTGTTTAAAACAATGTACTGTAAAGTTAAAGCTTTGCTATGTCCTTTGCTATTCAAATAAGGCTTTTTGATGTAAGAGGTTTTTAAATGGGAGAGGAAAATGATTTTCTGTTATCTCTCTTCTCTCTGCAGGCCTCTGCTATTCAAGTTGCTCCAAAGAGCTGGAGGACTTCCAGAACGGTATGAGACTTCATACTACCGGTAGTAGAAACAATGTAGGTGCATGTGTGCATATACACAAAAACAAAAACACAGAGCTTCTGTTCACTGAAGCCTTTGCCAAAGGATACAGTGCAATATAACTCAATGTAACAGTCCAAGATTGAAGTCTGATTATATTTAATAGCTCCTTGTTAAAATTGTGAAATCAACATTTTTTCCAACTATTTAGTTTATTCCTTCCCTAAAGTGCAACTTATAGCACAACAGTTCCTATAAAAGAAGGAATTGAAACTTGAAATACTCCAGCTAAAACAATTTTGTTTCTAAGTACTTTTAAAGCTCAGCACACAGTGTTACTTAGTATTCAAGCAGAGGGCACAGCAATTCAAAACTGCAATCCATTTGTTCAACCACAGCTTCCAGAATGCACCATTTAAAAGTCAGAGGAAGCCAAATGAGCTAATCCTTTTTTTCCCCTGGAATCCTTAATCAATCTCTGATGGCTGTACATATTTTATGTACAAAAATACAGACATAGATTTCTCTCATTTAGAGCAATTTCTATGCACAATTGCATGGAAGGAAGATAAAGCAGCCAAGCTTGGCTTTGACTGAATTAAATAGTAGTCACAATAAAACGAGTTACTCTGAGTTCAATGTGGCAAAAGTCTATAACAGTGGTTCTCAACCTTTTTAATGCCGCGACCCCAACCGGTCATAAGTCGAGGACTAAACCAGTCGTAAGTTGAGGACTACCCAACCGGTCGTGAGTCGAGGACTTTCCCTGCCCGGGAGCGCCGCACATGCGTGGTTCCGCCCCCTGCGCCGGCCGAGGCGTAGCTGGCAAGCGGCAGAGACGGAGCAGGCCGACCACCAGCTGGCCCAGCCCAAGGGAGGTAAGGCACCTGCCGGAAAAGGGGGGAAAAAGTGGCGGACAAAAAAAATGGAGGACAAAAAAAATGGAGGACAGCCTTGCTTGGCGACCCCCGTGAAATGGTCGATCGACCCCAAATGGGGTCCCGACCCACAGGTTGAGAACCACTGGTCTATAACATATTTATTTATTTATTTATTTTTGACATTTCTGAACTGCCCATCTCCCTCAAAGAGGGACTTTTAAAATCAGGAACCCATTCTAATAAGCCTTGAAAGCAAAACATTAGCCAATAAAGCTATGCTGTAAGTAAAGGTCTAGTAGTTTATCAAACTGCAGAAGCAGTTACAAACCTGTGTTGTTAATATTGGTTTGTCAGTTTATTTTTCAATTCTTATAAGACATTCTGATTTGAGCTTACTCTGACTGATACGTAATTCCTGTCTTCATAACTCAGATGAAGACAAACAAATGACAGAAGCAACACGAATAACGGTAATTTAAAAATGTGCAAAGATGTGTAAAAACTGGGAATGCAACAGTGAACAGCTATCCCCAAGGGCTTTCAATAGTAGTGAAGAGTAGACTTTCATGCCCAACCACCTGCTGAAATGTTTACTAGAAGTGTACAAAATGTTTAGAGATGGGATAACTTCTGGTAAGGTCAGAATGGTCTATCCTCATGTTAGAATATTTTGGTGATATTGGAACAGCTCTGCTGAGTCTAGAATGGGATATTTGGGGATCAGAAAGTTTCAGCCCTGAAACAGCTATTTTTTGTTTTGCTGCTAGTAGAAGATACAGAGTCACAAATGTTGACAATGACAGCAGATAGATGTGGGAAGTCAGCCCCCCAGAGAAGGAAATATTAAAAGGGCAGGAAAATATATATATTTCCTCAAAGGATCTTAAAGAGGCAGAAAAGCATGCCCAGTTTTTCTGACTCCCTCCCCCAAGCAGAAACCAGCTCTGTAGAAATGTAATGTAAACCATTCAGGAAGGTTGAAGCTAGAAGATTAAGAAGACAAAGACACCTAAAATCTACATACCCCACCCAAACTCTAAGACAGGACATAATAGGATTAACCCACAGATACCAAAGGGCACACTCAGACTCAGGTCAAAGTTCATGCCACAGGAACAACTCCAAACAAAAGGCTCCAGAGGGTATAAAAACCCACTCCCTACGTGCTCACTCTTTCTGCCAGAGCCATCTTTCTGTCTAGCTCTCCTCTTCAATAAACTGCAACCTTCTTTCTAAAGCAGTCGCCATGTTGTTTATCCCCGGCTTGGACTGAACCATGATGAAGACTTTTCTTCCAACATAGACATAACATTAATTCCAAAAACTATGACAACAGAACACATGATACATATGCTATATCCCCAGCATATGTAAAGACACATAAACTTTACCTTTAAATAGATCTCCAAAAGGCTTGGCCTAAGAAGACTGCCTTAGAAAGCTTTTTAAGTGAAGTTTCTGACTTAGGCACCCAAGCTTTAAAAAACAACTATTTGATTCTCACCAGAAGAAATGGGAAGTGACTGGCACTGAAACCAGATCACAAAACCACACTTGAGTGTAAACAATCTTAAATCTGCCCTGCCTTCCTTTTTTTTTTTTTTGAAAGGCCATGGCATCTGTGCTGAATTTCCAAATAATGTGCCTTGTGTTGATCTGGATGGAAGGAAGTAGTACTTTTTGAACGAACAAGGAAGTATTATTCCTGTCCTCACATTTATTTTAAAAAGACAGTGTTGATAGTTAGCCATACTTTACATTAAGAACCTCCCTTAACAGGAATCAGGGCTCTCATAAATTAAATTATTACTGTCCAGCCTTAAGACCATTTGCTACAGAATTAGCTGTCTCAGAATCTGAATTCCTCTCACAAATAAACAATGGGTTTTTTTTCTAATTCTGTAAACAAAATCTGCCTTCTTTTGCCCCACAGATGCTCAGGACCCTCCACTTGTGAATGATAACCATTAGGGGCATCAGTGGAGCTTTCTGGGGCAAAAGGGAAACCTCTTAGCAACCTCTCTCCCCCGTCCCTGCATCAGTCATCATAAAGATCCATATTAGTTATCATAAAGCAGCTCCGTTTGAAGGCGCAAACCTATTCAGGTGTGTCCCTACACACAAGTTGCTCTGGGGAAAGGGTTGTTGTAGCTTTTTAGGGACGAGCGGGGGGCAAGTTAGATCAGGGGTGTCAAACTCGCAACGCCACGTGACATATCGCGACTTTTTTTTTTTTTGCCACTGCCGGCAATGGGGTGGGCGCGGTTGCGCTATGTTGCATCCGGCCAGGACTGACACAAGCTTCGAGGTTTTCTGCATTTTGGCATCTTGCGGCCGCCCGCAGCAGGCAGACGCCGAGGCGGCCGGAAACCTTCCACTCGCCCTCCACTCGCTTCCTCTGCAGCTCCCCCTCCCCCGACTTCAACATGGTGCTCGGGCAAATCCTTCGGTCGCTGCGGCCCTGCTGAAGACGCGCGCGGGGCCACCTGCACCCCCCCCCCCGGGGCGGCCTCCCCTCTTCCTTGGGCTGCTCCTTTGCGCCACAGGAAAAGGAGCCGTGCCCAACGCGGCGGCGCAGTTTGGCCCGTCTCTTCCCGTTTCAGCACAAAGCCCAGCCTCGTTTTCCTCTCTGCCAGTCTTGGAAAGTGGCAGAGAAGAAACGCCCGGCTCCGGCTCTGCCAGGGGCGGGGCACAAGCTGCTTGTGCCAGGCCTGGTTCTCGCCGAAGCCCCTGAGCATCACCCCTGGGTGCCACGGGCGTTCACCTTCGCTCCTCCCTCCCTCCCTGGAGAACGCACAGGGATTGGCCCCCTGCCCGGCGTACCTGCCAAAGGAGCGGCCCTTTCCTCCGGGTCAGGCTCGGTCCGAGCAAAGTCAACCAGCCCCCCCCCCCTTTTCATTGCCGCTCGGTAAAGACCACTCGGTGGTATGCCCGCGATTCCGAAAATGAAAGCAAAATCGAGTGGGAAGGGCGGGGATGCCATAGGCTGCCCGCATCTCGACTGCGAGGGCCTGGCTTCCGGGCGGCGGAAAAGCGCTGCTTTGGCCTGGGAAAGAAAGGGTTGTGTGAGTTAATCACAGCCTCTCCCTCCCTCCCCCCGCCCCCAGTGTTAAGGTACTTTCCTCCATCTTGTGTTCACAAATTGAGTAAGCGTTCGTCTCTTTTAATTATAATTTTTTACTTCCTCCTGGTTCCCTCTAGTGTCCAAAGTTCAAAATTTTGCCAGAAGTCAAAACACCAGCCATTTCCTACAGGGAAGATTATTTCAATTAATATCAAAATCCTATTTCAAATCCATCTAGATCCTTAATCTCTTTATATCTTTCCAGAAACAACACTCTAATCACCCTTTTGCCATTTATTCCCCAAATTTACTAAGTCTTGAAACCTATAGCTAAAAAACGTCTTTAATTAAGGATTGAAGAAACTTCTCCCAGTGAATACCATCAAACTTGCCATTCTGAAGGTTCTTAATATTTAAAAAGTAGTAAATAAGTACATTTGAAAGTGATTAGGAAATGAGATTCAGCCAAGTTTAATCATCATCATCATCATCATCATCATCAGGGCTTTTTTTGTCATAAAACGCCCAGAACAGAGTTCCAGCACCTTTTTTGGATGGAACCTTGTAGGGTAGGCAAGGCGGGTTGTATGACGTGTGTGAGTTCTGGCACCTTTATTTATTTTTTTACAAAAAAGCACTGATAATAATATAATAATAATAATAATAATAATAATAATAATAATGATGATGATGATGATGATGATGATGATGATGATGATGATGATGATGATGATGATGTTGGAAGGGACCTTGGAGGTCATCTAGTCCAGCCCACTGCTCAGGCAGGAAACCCTATACCATTTCACACAAATGGCTGTCCAATC